TGTAAAATTGAATTTTCATTTATTAAAACGTCTAATATGCATTTGTTTAATAATTATTCTACGTTCAAACTACCAGCGCGTAAGTATTAAGATATTTTTTATTCTGTTATATATATATTTAAAGGCTTATTGTATATATATTTACATTTCCAGGGGGTGAATACTAAAGCTTTATTTTTGCTAAATTTTGCTTTTGAGTAATATTAATATTATATTTAATTTTTAGAGGGTAGGATAAATTTTCATAAGTCAACATTTTTAATACGACATAGTGTTTATGACAATAAAATTGATTTAAATTGCCAGAAAGTAAGTATAATATTGATTTATCGACTGTTATAAAGTTTAAGCATTTCGTTATATTAACAAGTGTATATGTACAAAATTATTAGTAAGTGAGTATAAGTTGAATATAAAGATTTGACTCCAACTAATTGATTCTAATTGATTAAATATTATAACATATCAGAATGTGAGTATAAAGTTTAATTCTTTATAAAATTAAGGTTTCTATAATTATAACAATCATATTCATACGTGTATAAATTCTAGATTGTGAGTACGAATAGTTTATTATAAATGAAATTCACTATGAATCATTCTTAAATTATCTTATCAACTTTGTATCAACTTTAGAAAGTAAGTATTAAAAGTTATCTTACTTATTTCATAATTAAATGTGGTATTTTTTAAATCATAATATTCAATTGTTTTAAATTTTTAGGCGGTAAATTTATATACGTTATTATAAATGAAGTTATTGCAATATTTTATAAAAGTTTCAGTATTGTATATATTAAATTAACAGATTGTGAGTATGAACTATGTCATATTCTGTTATAAATCGAAGTTCTATAATAAAATAATGTTTATATATTCATTACTAGCTTGTAAGTATAATACATGTTGAAGGCTAATAGAAAAAACGCAATAATATTAATATATCGATCAATAAAATAATGTAACACGATTATAGCGGGTAAGAATATTCTGTAATTGTTATAGCTTTAAAGGTTCATAATTAATGCTTATATAAATTATGTACCAATTTAATTAACAGAGAGTAAGCATTTGTTTATTCATGTTCTTTAAAGCGTATGCCGTTTCTTATTAATTAAATATTTATTCAATCGCCAGCTTGTGAGAATAATTTTATTTTATATTTATTGTTTTCTTCGAGCGTTTCATCTCTAATAATTATGTTTCAATTGAATGTAGCGAGTAAGTACAAATTAAAGCTTTGCATGTTTAAAAATTTTTTTAAATCAAGGTTTTAATTCATTGATATTTATTAAACTTTATAATTAACCGAATTTCAACCAATTAAATTTTTAGAAAGTAAGATGAAATCTCATTTTTTTATGTTACGAAAATATTATCATTGTTCTAATTCACGCATTGTGTACCATATTAAATTTTAGACGGTAAGAAAAAAGTTCCATTGCATTTATGCAAGTAATCAAAGCTCCAGAGTTATAAAATTATTTAAATTCTTAATACGCGTGAACTACAGGAAGTGAGTGTGAAATTTTGTAGTTTTTATTTGTGGAGTCAATGCCAAATCATTAAGCGCTACCCATTCTAATCGACTATACATTTACTTTTTAGATTGTGAGCATAACCCTTATCGTATTTACTTGTCAATTCAACGCGTTATGCAATCATGTTTATCCAATTAACTATACGGATTAATTTAGGCAGTAAGTATATATTATTTAAAAATTTTTTCCAAATATAGCCATACTTCACTAATCAGTCATATATTCATATAACTTTAAGTTTGTAAGTATAATGTTCTAGGTTGCTCGTTTATGAAATTTGGTAAAAAGTTTGCTTATAGACTATTTGATTATTTAAAGTTTGTATGTATAAATTTTTAATTGATACAACTTTGAATCGATGCTTTAATGCAATTATCACTTCCCTAATCAATTTAATAAACAGCCTGTAAGTATAAAAAATTTATAGCAGCTATAAATTAAAACTTTAATATTAGTTATTAAATTATATACTGTAAATAGAGAGTAAGTATAAACTTTACGTTGTGTTTTGTCAAGCAACAGTACCTAATAAATTTTTATATATTAATTTAGATGGTGAGTACAGAGTCCAATTATCAGGCACTAAACTTTATGACTAATAATTCTCTGAATAATTATGCATGCATTTGAATTTTAGGCAGTGAGTATTGTTTTGTCATGCTTCGTTCTAAATATACTCAATATTAAAATATAAATATTCTAATATAGAATGTAAGCATGGTGTTTATTCAATCGTAAACACAGAACTTGTGATCCTAAATAACGTTAATCATTTCATACGTTGAATTTTTTAGGCAGTGAGTACTTATAGAACCAATAAATAATATTATTTATTGTTCTTTACTAATAAAATTACGTTATATTTCAGATGGTAAATATCCAATTTTCGAACGTGTTATACAATGTGTGCATTATCTTAGGACGCACATGGGCATTATTTTGGAGGTTTTTAATGGGTGAAATTTTCGAAATAATGTTCATGGCGATATTTCGCGACTTTACAGTACAATAATATTTCTAATTATGCAACTCTAATATGTTATGATATTATGCAAATTCTTAGTGGGTAAATATAATTTCATATATACTTATTTTCTGTATTGGTAACATATTCCTAATAAATTTCACGCTAATTTAAATTAAAAGAGCGTGAGTAAATTTACCATGTCTATTGTAAGCAGAGTTTTTATGACATAGCACATTATTAATCAATTATATTCGCGTTAAATTTAGTTGGTAAATATATGACAATAATTATAAATGAAATTTTACTAAATAATTTTACCTAATAAGTGCTATATTAATATGTACATCTAAATTTTCAGGGAGTAAGTATACTATAACGTTTATCCTATTTATTACATAATATATACTTTACAATTAATTGTACCTAATTATTAGCTTGTAAGTATAAAATATTTTCTTTATCACTGAATAACACTTTAAAAATTAATTGAAAATTATCAAATTATTAGTGAGTGAGTATCAATGTTTTATATACCGAAATTGTACTACCTTCTAATAAAAATATAACAATCAAATTTATTGTAAATATAATAGAGCGTAAGCATAAATTCTGTCAACATTTTAACCTCAATTCAAATAATGTTCTCTAATATATTGAATGATTATTCATATATAAATTATCAGAGCGTGAGTTAAACCTTGTTTATAGAATTTAATTTATTAAATAATTCTTTCTAATCACTTGGCATTTAATTATTAGAATGTATGCGATAAGTTTAATTGCACAAATTTATCAAAATATACTTCCTTAATTTGATTATTTATTGCATGAATTAAATTCTTTTAGACGGTAAGTATAGACCTTAAAAACACTATCATTAAATCATATATCTCTAATCAACTATATCGATACGTACATTTCGATTATTAGCTTGTAAGTATTATGCACAGAATAAATCTCACAATAGATATTTCTTTAACTAATATCGCATATCTATATTTTGAACCACTAGATTGTAAGTATAAATATTAGTATAAATTTATAAATCAATTCATAATAAATGAATTTATTTAATAAACCATGTTTAATAAATTTTTAGGAAGTAGGTATAAGATTTATTTATTATTGTTAAATAATACATCTCCTAATTAATTTATATATTAAATTTTTAGGTGGTAAGATGTTTACAAAACTTATTTATAAATAAGAGTCTATCAAACTTTCTAATTATTTCGATTAACAGTTCGTAAGTATAATAGTTTCATATTCGTTTAAATCAAAGCTTAACTTATGCTGATGAATTTTTATTTAATCAACTATATAATTAGAGGGTTAGTTGGATTTATTATTTCACTCATAAAATCATTAATAACAAAGTAGCTAATACATTTACATGGAATTTCCAGATGGTGAGTATACAGGTTTGAGATTTGGTTTAAATCAAGATTTAAATAACGTTTTTCAAACTAATTTACTAGGAGGTGAATATAATACTCAATAAAACTAAAACCAAAAGTATATACACTTGTTAATAATAAAGTATGCCTATATATCTCTAGCGAGTGAGTATAAATTTTTTAATATATTTAAATAACATCAAATTACTAGCTAACGATTTTATGCATATTAAATTGCCAGAGAGTAAGTATAAAACTTATCATCCATTATTAGATAAGAATTCCGATATCTAAAATTCTTACATCATTTATATTTAATAGGAAGTGAGTATAATGAAAATATTCAGGATAAATGTCTTTTTTATAGCAACAGAATTTTTGTTCAATCATTATAATTTAAAGTTTTGATTGTGAAAATCGAAACATTTGCATGGCTTAATTTTGTTTAATAATATAAATTATATCTCGTTAATTATTTAGATGGTAAGTTAATAATGTTAATACAAGAAAAACTTAACACTTTATTAAAAAAAAATCGCATGCTAATTATCAGGCAGTAAGTATAAACTTATAACATTCATTTGGAAAATATATTTATTTTCACTAAAAACACTATATATATTAATTCCAGAGAGTGAGTATAAAATTACTAGAGTTCATTTTAAACTAAATTACCTTAAATAATCATGTATTTACGCCATTAGCCTGTAAGAACAATTTATTTTTTTTCAAATCTAAATTTTTTTCGCTCTTAAATAACACAACCAATCGTATATACAACAAAATTTAGACCGTAAGTGTAAAATACCATCCTAAATATATCATCGAAATCTTATGATTCTAACTATTTATATACGCTTAAATAACTAGCTTGTAAGCAGATGATTTATTTTTTCATCTAAGCACAGAATATAACTTTAATAAATAAAGTACTAAAAATAAAATACATTTATATTATAGAAAGTGAGTGTAAAACTTTCTAAATATTTAATTTATTATTAGAATAGTGCTTTGCTAATAAATTAATCACAATAATAATTCTAAAGGTGCAAAGAATGCAATAAACCATTTTTAGTTTCGACTAGCAAATGGTGCATGAAATGCAATTTGAAGCATTTACGTAAAGATTTTAAAAGCTGGAGTGGTAATAAAAAAGTTGACGATATTATACAAAGAGTACAGAGTACTGCAAATGGTCCAGAAAAAGTCATGGAATGGATTCCGTATGAAAATTTTAAACAGGAAAAATATATTAATAGAGGAGGATTCGCAACAGTACATTCAGCTATTTGGTCAGATGGTCCAATTGAGAAATGGGATATAAAGAATAAACAATGGAGTCGCAAGAAAAATGAACCAGTAGCATTGAAATATGTAGCTAATTCAAAAGCTGAAATAGATGACTTTTTGAAAGAGGTAGTATTTTAATTTATAAATCTCAATTTACAATGTTTTATAATTATACCTCTAAATATTTTTTATACGGCATAGGTTGTTTCATATTTTCAAATAACTGATAATTCAGCGTTTATTCGATGCCTTGGAATTTCTCAACATCCAGATGGTAGATACATTATAGTATTGGAATATGCAATTTTAGGTAGTCTTCGTGCGTACTTGGATGTAAATTATAAGTTTATGACATGGAAAGAAAAGATTACTGCACTATTCAACGTCAGCATGGGACTTAGCACATTGCATAACAGCCAATTGATCCATCACGACTTTCATTCAGGAAACCTTTTATTCCTTAGAGATGTTGGTGGAAAATTTTTAAATATTTCTGATCTCGGCCAAACAAAAAGAGATGGGCAAGATGAATTAAGTGCGGTTATTGGAATTTTACCTTATATTGGTCCTGAAGTTTTGCATGAAAAAAAGTACACCAAAGCATCAGATATATACTCCTTTGGAATTGTGGCATATGAAATAATAACAGGACTTCGACCACACGCTGATGTAAAGCATGATTATAATCTTGCAATAGAAATTATGCAAGGTTTACGTCCAAAAATTCCAACAAGCACACCAAAGTTGCTTGCTAGATTAATTATGAAATGTTGGGATGCTCGACCAAATAAAAGACCAACTGCTGATGAATTGCATCAAACCCTAAAACGATTTTATGCTGAGGTAATGGAAAATAAGCCAACAGAATTTGTTGAGCAAATTAAGAAGGCAGTGGAAGGTGAAGAAAACTTAACAGATTCACCACAAATTAACGTATCTAAAATGCCTCATTATAAAACACACCCTGGAGCAATTTATACTAGCAGGCTACTTGATTTCTCTACTCTTCCACCCCCAGTAAATGCACCAGATTTTGAGATTGAAGATAGTCTTCAAGGTAATTAATACAATATCTGATATTTGGCTGTGCATTTTACTAATTTAATTAGTTTACTAATTTTATTATCTATATTTTATTCATTATTAAAGATTCGAAGATTGTAAATCTTGATCTATCAGTGCTCGAAGATTTAGAATAATAAGGTAATTAATATTTGGCAATACATTTATTTAATTGATTTGGTTTACTTATTTTATGGAAATTAAAAATTATAGATCTTGAATTTTAAATTCCATTATTTCTTATTACGCTTTATTTATACTATTTAATTTTATTTACATATCATATTTATTATCAAGTGTTCTGCAATTGTGGAATTTAAATTTTTGATTTAATTATTTGTCCGAATTTTCATATTCATATCATACTATGATTCATTGCGAAAATTATTTGTTCAGATTTTCATATATTATACTGTCATTAAAATTGATAACACCATATAGCATTCTTATATATTTGATTTGAAAATAGTTCATTTTTTTAAAAACAAATAAATTTACTGGGAATTATCTATTGAAAAAAATATAAAAATATACAGTATTTATATTTTTATTTTACATTAATAAGGACTATAAACATTTCCTCTTTGTTGAAACTCTAAATTTCCATTAACAGAAAAGCTACTATGATTGTTCTGATTTAAAGTTCCATCTTCAATTTGATAATGAAACTTTTCATTTGAAACCAACTTGTTCAACTATTTTTACTGTCTAATAATGTTATGTATAATATCGTGCAGAAACACAGCTTAACCTTTAAATCTGTGTTCATAACATGTTCGATCGCTTCACTTTGTATGATGTTTTTGGTACAAAAAGCGTCAACGAAAAGTATCGCTATCCATAGATGTACTTATTGATCGATTTTAGTTCTTCCACAGGGCTTTGATCATATGCTTTAATTCACAAAAGCCTCCGTAGATATAATGGTCTTCAACAAGTATGAGGATATTCCCATGTTCGCCAAATAGATGTTTAATACCAGTGCGATCACGTTTCTTGTGCAACATGAAATGTGGTAGGGATGGTTCCGTTCAACTTTTTTGATGTGAGCATTATGTAAGCTATATGATTTTTGTGGAATCCTAATTTAGTAAGGGTGTTTTTCAAGAAAAAAAAACGTGTTTCCGTACTAACTTGGTGAGGTTTATTTTTTGGCTGATTTTACTTTGGTATTAGTGTGTGAAATGTGAAATGTGAAAGGGGTGGTTTCATTCGACCTAACTGATATTTACTAAACTGATTTACGTATAACAGAATTGGATCTGTCAAAATTAGGGTAGCTGCGCGACGCAGTCGCGCTAGAACCAGGAACGTACTACAGATCGGTTTTGAAAATTAATTGCTGTTGATATAAAAAATTTTCTGATGAGTATTAAATAATTTTTTAACTATAACTTTGTGTTTCCCCAAGCATAGGTGTATCCGTTGCTTTCATGGTTTTTGCTTTTTTCTTTTTGTCTTTCTCTTTTTTTTATCATTTTATTTTTCTCTTTTTGTATTTGGTTTTCATTTAGGTTTTTGTAGTTCTTTCACCTTTTTTTTACTTCCTTTTTTTTTAGTTTAGTTTTTTTTAGTATACTTGTCGTTCTTGAGGCAAGGATTATGGAATCCTCTTGCTTGAATATTAAGAAGAGGAAGGTCTTAAAGAAATTAGTGGTTATGATGGGCGGCAAATTCTAGTTGATGATGTACCTCTCTACTTTGGTTGCAGAAGAGATAGATGCGTAGACAATATCGGCTATAGCAGGTCGAATATAGGTGTCCATAGGATAACTGGGTTAGCCAAAACTTAGAAATTAGATACTGAAGCTAGTGTTTTAGTGATAAGTCTGCATCGGTAGAGCCAATTGCGGTTAATCTAATAAAGTTTAGGCATGATTGCCGAATTTTAAAAAAAACAAAAAAAAAAAACTACTTTTTAGTAAAGTTAAGAGTAGTGTAATTTAGAGTAAGAGTTATATATAACTATTTTAGTAATATTATTTAACTCCTGCCTAATAAAAAGACTTTTTGGTACTTATCTAAGTTAATTATTTAAGCATAATTAGACATATAAAAAACATTATTTATACATTACATATAATATTATACAGTACTTATTTTGCAGATAATTTTATAATTATAATGTTGACACATTCAATATTATTAAACTTTCTTTAATACTTGACCAATATATTTGTATGTTTAACTTAGGAAAAAGGCTGTTATTGTCAACCAATAAATTTTGATAAGAAATATAAAAAAGACTTTGAGTATAAAATAAACCTTTTTAGTAAACATATCTAATATTATACAAATAGATGCTAATTTTAAAAAGCTAGATATAATTAAAATTTGTAGTAGTTTTAAGAACAGTAAAACTAGTAATTATTAGACTATATTGGTCTAAGTTAGGGTTGGTATTAGAATTAATGTTAGAATTAGGTGATAGTTAGTTTAGACTGATTTTGTTAGTGCTAATAAACAAATGACTTGATTGTATATGATAATTACTGAGTTTATCTTTCTTGAAATATTACAAATTTTTGCAGAAATTATGAATAGGTTTTAAAAAAAAGGCTTAATTAGTTTAGATAAATACAACAGCTTTATCTTACATGTTCATAAAATCAAGTTTGTAAGTAAATTTACTAATTATTAATAACTTGAAATATAATCTATTTGTCATCTATTTCTGGGTTTAGTACAACTATATTATGCAACTACCTTATTTGTTTATTTTCTTATTTTTTGATATAGTATGCATAGATCTGCAAAATACTTTACATAAATCTATTATTACATATAATTATAATTTAAAATACAAAGAGCTTGCAAATATGATAAATATTACAGTTGCAATAGCTAAGCAAAGAACTTATAGTTTAATAGACATATATAAACATATATCTATTGTTCTGTTTATTGACATATTAATATAGAGATGCATCAGTCTGGTTCAGTCTTTAAGAGGACTATTATTATAGTATTTATAGTTCAGTTCAGTTTAGTTCTTCAGTTCCATAATGGTTCTTTAATTATTACATCAATCTTAATATATAAGATTTTATTGCTAAAAATAATATAATTATTTACCATCAAATTTAAACAAATATCATGTGATCTATATTACACCTGATCAAGAAATTTAATTAATAATACAAATATTATAGTTATGTTTGCAAGAACTGGTCTCAAAACCAGTCCTTTAATGGTTCTAATATTCTTATTGGTCTTAGTTCTGAATCAGTCCAAACTGGTCTTTTTAGGACTAATGCAACTCTATATTACTATTTACTTTACTTAATCTATTGTTATTCCTGCCTGTTAGTATAAATAATACAGATCACAATTACCAAAATATATATTACAACAATTATATAGGCTTGGTGCTAAGAAAAGGGCAGAAATTGACAATTTATTAAAGGATGTTTTTTTATATATATTAATTTAAAATAAGATTAGAATTATTTTTCATTTAAAATATAAAAGTTAGGGCTCCAATCCATTATTCATTTATCTATTTATCCATAGATATCCAGATATCAAATTTTTAAATAGATAAAATGGATAAATGGATGGATATCTGGATATCCAATGGATTAATGCAAGAAGTGCAGTTGATTTAACAGTTGATCTAACGGATGATGTAAAAGGTATTATATAATATAATGGTTAATATCTAATGGTTAAGATCTAACAGTTAAGATCTAACAGTTGATCTAGTGGCTGATCTAACGGTTAATTCAAAAGGTATTATATAATAGTAAGATCTAATAGTTAAGATCTAATAGTTGATCTAACAGTTGATGTTAAAGGTATTATAATGGTTAAGATCTAATAGTTGATCTAACAGTTAATATAAAGATATTACAGTTAAGATCTAATGGTTGATCTAGTGATTGATCTAATGATTAATGTAAAAGGTATTATATACTGTAATATAACAGTTAAGATCTAACAGTTAAGATCTAATAGCTGATCTAATAGCTAATCTAACAGTTAATTTAAAGGTATATTTTATAGCTAAATAAATATGTTTAAGAGAAAATATGAATTATGGATGAAGATATGGGCAAAAATCTCCAGTTGAAACACAATAATTGTTAAATTTATAAGTAATTAGGTCACAATTAGGTAAATTTATAAATAGTTAATAAGCAATTCATTATCTGGCTTACAATATTTGATCAAAAATACCTGTATAACATTAGTGAAATAAATACAGGACAATAGGGTGTTGCAAATATATTAAATTACAAACATAGACCAAATGGCCTAGTAAATTGTATTAATGAGAATTTTGTTAATCAAATTTTTAGTCATATGTTATATGATCATTTGATTGGCTAAATTTGTAGATCTGCTTAATATATTTAATTAAATCTATAAGAAAGTACTAGATCAAGATTAAAATTGTTAAAACTTTTGTTTAACAATCATTTGCTTTATAAAATTTATATTCATATATTTTTAAGAAAATAAACTTTAATAAAATAATGCAAATTTTTATATATCTTATTAAGTTTATTAGTTTTTTTTTTGGGGGGTATTAAGGTGACCTCTCTGGCTGGGAACTTTTTATTACATAGCTATAACATTATACAATTACAATGAGGGTACATCAAGCCACACGTGCACCTTTTGAGTGCCTAATTTAAGTAGTCTGCTCGAAGGTTTTATACTATCTGCTGTACCTGCACCCCAACTAGGGGGTACCTGTTTAAACTCTCTGGTTCTAACTGTCGGTTATTTCTAACCTAACCAAGGTGTAACTCACTATTCGGTTGTAGCTTTTGCGACACCTGTAGATTTTGCACCCACCTTATGACTTACTAATCATCTAAAGCTAGTCTATCCACGAGGTAAACCTAACAGAGTGGTCCATGTATTCACCTGCATGTTCGGTAACTTCTTATCTAACTAGTACATGTTGTACTGCCGCCACCAGGTTCATATCTCAAGCCAACTTTTGGGGTACTGCCATAACCCGATTCGTATCTCAAATACAACCTTTTTAATTA